AAGCGAGCGACAATGAGCAGGAAGGAGTCATATATCGATTTTAAGAGAGAAGATTGACATCGAGGGGAATTTGACTGTTTACCACAGCGCCCTAGAAATAACAATGTTAACAGGAAACGAGTGACCTGGTATTTTGATGATAATTCTGTGATATCGAGTTCGAATCTCCCACCCAGATACCTGTAGGAATAAGTCACGTGTATGATTCAGTTTCGGTCATAAACAGAACGAGTTACTGTGAATTGCCGACAGAAAATAGCTTTTATCAAAGTGTTCTACAATTTTGGTCACGTCTAGTGGATGATGGCTTAAATGGTGTCTACAACCATCTGAATGGCGTTGTTAGGCGAATGACAACAGCTCGTGACAGGATACCAGAGGATACAGAGGATATCAGGTCGCAATGGCCTATTTACCACTATTGTCTATTCCTCGGTCGATCTATACGAAATATTGCCCGTCATCGGTCAGTTTGCCTCATACCCATTCGAATAAATGATCCAGTCTGCCCATTGGTTCGTATCTGAGCTGCTTCCAAGTTGTATGGATTTCATGCTTCGTCTAAACACCGAGCTGCTTTCCAAGGTTTACGGTAGCTGTACTATGTGATCGACTAAGGAATGGCTGGAAAACGACTGCCCAAGTGGTCAGAGTATAGCACAATTGCCCCACATTACCACGTGTAGTCAATCCAGTGCAAAGTGTCCTACAAATCCATACACATTATGTCACTGGCTGCACCACCAGTCTGACGACATGGACAACGCGAATGGTTCTATCGCCAGTCAAGACGGTTGCGATCGGATCAGTTCACGTGCGGCTGTGTATAAACATTACACACAAACATATCCCAGGCCCGCTTCAGAGGTTTGGTAGACAGTCGGTGGATTTATTGATGGGCGACATTTCGCTTCTGACACAAAAGCTTCATCGGGCCAAGTGAATAAGTAAGTAGGCTGATTGGGTTTTAAAGCAGTCAGGGAACCAATCCGTGGGATTTCTTATGACTAGCCGACTTGATCAATGCTGGTTGTTCAGTCTGATGTTCCTGTTTGTTGGTTAGTGGGGATGACTAACATTTACAATAGATTGGTTAGGGGGGAGGATTTGTCTTCATGATGATAACGGATTTTTCGTCCTTGCTCAAACAGCAAAGGATACCTTAATAGAAAATTTCTCTTAGGGTCGTTCACAGATTTCGTTCACCTGTGTTCGTCAAAGGGGGCTGGGACAATTGGTTTGAGGATGGGGGTGGGTGGTTAATTGGATCTAACTTCACTTGGATTTTGTACTTTTAGACCCAGGCCATTTCGCTGATAACTGCACACCACCTCGTGTCATCTTGGCTGATCTAAGACCGCTCTCCACATGTTTGCAAGTTCTACCCCATCTATTCTGTTTACGCTGGGATGCTTGGCGATTTCCGCCACCTCGGCCGAAGGAGTGGATCGGAAGACCGGTCATTCCATACAAAACAGGGATATCTGAAGTCATTAGAAGGGTACCGAATACGGCTAAGATTAGAGTAGCATTCCAGAAGAGGAAGAGTTTACGCTCGGTGTTGGTGCATTTGAAGGACAAGGAACTGTGTGTACAAAATTAAATGTAACGACTGTACGAAGGTTTATATAGGTCAGACAGCCAGGGAACTGCACACCAGAACCGGTGAGCACAAGCGTTCCATAAATAGACCACCGAGAAACGTAGATGAATACCAGACCAAAGATTCGGCAATGGCAGGGCATGCACTAGACACTGGGCATAGGATAGATATAGAAAATGTAGACATACTGAGACGGGATTCAAGATCCACACCACAGCGACTGGTGGCCGATGCGATGGAAAACAAAATGCAAGTAGAGTTAGATCCAGTTAACCACCCCCAACCCCATCCTCATTTGTCCCGGCCCCCTTTGACGAAAACAGGTGAACGAAATGTGTGAACGACCCCAAGAGGAATTTCCAATTAAGGTGTCCTAGACTGAAAAAGCAAGGACGAAAAATCCGTTTTCATCATGAAGACAAATCCTCCCCCCTAACCAATCTATTGTAAATGTTAGTCATCCCCACTAACCAACAAACAGGAACATCAGACTGAACAACCAGCATTGATCAAGTCGGCTAGTCATAAGAAATCCCACGGATTGGTTCCCTGACTGCTTTAAAACCCAATCAGCCTACTTACTTATTCGCTTGGCCCGACAAAGCTTTTGTGTCAAAAGCGAAACGTTACCCAGCAATAAATCCACCGATTGTTTACCGAACCTCTCTAAAAACGATGACTTTCCAAACGGTCCCACACGTTTTCCAATCGATATCCCAAGCCCATTGCTAACGCCTGTTCCGAAGCTCAATGAAAGTTGGCAGATCACATGATAACCCGTCACCAACACATAAGGTTTTTGAATCCAGTTGGTGTATACTCGGGTGGAAGGTAATCCTACCTCTACCAGGAGGGTCAGTCTAGTCGGTGCTACCTAGACACGGCGACCATGACAAAACTGGTTAGATGAACCATGCAACCATAAGCAGATCATTGTTCAACCGTTTGTGATTAATCCTATGATTTTTGTGGTAGAAAAGGACGTGTCCATTGCGGTTACTCCGTCTCTATAGGGGACATCATATGTGCCAATAAGTGAGCAACAAAATACAGACGGTCGTTACGAGTAGCTGACCTTGATTGGGGGGCGAAGAACGGTTTTGAAAATATTACCAGCATTTGACTCGGAACTCCATTACCGTATGGATGAACTTATTACGGCAGATAAAGTTGACACACTCAGTGCGGGCTGAAACAACGTAGTTTACATAAAATGAATGCATTCATACGTAGAAGTATAACAAAACGAAGCAAATGTCCAGATTTTACTATCAAGGTACCAGGTATCAATATCATCGTCACCACTCAGCAATGAAGTAAACGGTCCAGCAAAAGGTGAAAAATGGAGTAGATATTTATTATAGAAAGCCGCTTGTACCGAGGGAAAGTAGCCGAAAGTGAGGTGCCTATATCTTCCAAAATCACTGGAAAAAGTAACTGAGTATACTTTTGGAGGCAAGCTCCATCGTGAAATCGACTGAACGTACGCTGCGGACCTCACCCAAAACAAACAAAGCGAATAGCGACAGCCAAGCCGTGCAAGGACCGAGACACTTACAGGTTGCCTAAGCCCAGGCAGGAGTAAACAAGAAGTCAGGGGAATTACGGGGATTCCGATCGATAGTTTGGCGCCCTAGCCACACTCGTGCAGGCAATCAATGCAGCCAAGATTGCACGGACGCATGCAGTTGCTCGACACAGATTTAAGTGGTTAAGGTGACCTATAAGATCTTGGGGTGTGTAGCAGGAAGAAAAGTGTTCTGAATCCGTCAGATTGTGTGTGTATTGAAACTTACGAAGGAATTCGAAGACGACGGTTCCGATGTATAGACAAAGTACTCTCGACAGTATAGGACATGGTCAAGCACTGTGGTGATGGTGAAACTCTCGGTCACAGAGTTATTGCGACGTTGTACTGAATCAGGTCGGTGTGATAGCGTCTTGCGAATAAACGGAACTGTGTAATTCTTTAATGTGCCGTCAAAATGCTTTGCGTTCAACGGAACTTCCGTTGTTGAACATATTCGCAAGTTCAAACACACAAAAAACAACATTGATTCATGGGACACTGTTCCATCTGCTCTGTTTGAACACCCAGGCGATCTTCGCCAAGCTGTGTAATATCACGTCAACACGAAACACGAATCGGTGGTATCCTGACGGTACTGCGACTAGGTTTGATCCATAAATTTGGAAGGAGGAGAAATTACCGAAACTACGTAGAAACTAAGAGGAAATTTCCTGAAACTTCATCATCAAACATTTGGGGTCGAACTGTAAGAAATTACATATTTTCATTCTGTACACGTAGTGGCGTGGGGTAATAGTACGTGAAATTAGTCTGGTTGTTTGGGAATTAATTGTTCCAAATTAGATATGGATTCCGATCGCGCATCATCAAACAGAACCAATGTAGCCATCCAATATGCAACTCTTTCGAGCTGCGTATTTCACTGGAAAACACAGTGCTCCCACTTCTCACAGAATATCGATAATAAAGTTCCTTTACCGACTGTATTGTAAACTGAAGCATCGATTTGTTGACAAAAGTTTTCACATTTCTCACACTCGCATCCCTCATATGGCGGACGCACTGAACTGTATAGTAAACAGCAATCTACCAGTTTCGGAGTTCCACTCAAGACATTGATCAAGCAGGTTGTCAACTTTCTGGATACAATACACAGGACATCGTTTTTTACACTCCACCAGGTTCATCTTCCCCAATCGACGACATGTTGCGATGAATCCCACTCACGGCTATGCGCCAAATTACGGTGTGCATCTTTCTAAAACAACCGCTTGGCGGACCTTGTCAGTGATAGTTGTAAACAGGTTTCGCCGTAGTAGGCTGCACCGATGCATCAGAATGAATCGTTTCGTTCAGCTGTAACACCCTACCAACGACTGGCTCCGACGCTACCCGAAAGAGGTAGGAGGCCAGGTTGCCCAAGCCTAGACAGGAGCACTCGAGGTTCGGACCTTCTGGTTAATATGTTCGCGCCTTAACCACTGAGCTCTCTTAAGCTCAGAATGAAACTGAGTGTCACCCACAACCACAACATGTAGTCCCAAATCAACAAACGCTGGATAATATGCATCCTTACATGATTTCATGTTACCGCGTACTTTCAAGCAAGAGTAAATTAACCACCCACCCACACAGCATTACTCACTATTCACACATAAAGCTCATCCGAACTTCGACAGAGTGACTCAATACTCCAAATCAGGCTCGGTTGCACTTGGCGTTAGGTGACGTGGAATTAAACGTGTAACAGCATAACCTGGTATAGTCATGAGCGGCAAACTTGGTGTCATTCGTATCTGCCCTGAATTCCCTTTGAGCGCCCATTTTCAAAATCTAATCAACGCAACCAAATGAGTTGGAACGTACCGGTTGCTTTCGGCCGGATATAGGCCGCATCTTTTCCTCTCGGGATTCCCACACTGTGGGGTCAACTGTGAACAGACCTCGTGTCCAATTGCCAAAGAACTGTCGTGAAACAACTGGTGACTCAGCAGAAGCTTTGGGGACTAATAGTGGACCAGTGACTTGATGCAGTGCTCCACTGAGCCAGCTGGAGGACGAAAACTCCAGTTGGGCTAATATTCCTGTTTTATGGTTGGTAACATTTAGCTGTCCAACCTGGGAAGGGAAATAGAACAACAGTGCGGTAGATGAAGCAAACGAAAAAGACCAGCGATTTTACCAAAGTAACGAAAGCATAGTATGACTGGACCACCGAGTGCGCAGCTGGAATTGTGAAAAATATCGACATCCAGTGTGGTTCCAGTGACTCACGATGACCACTCCCGGTGAAATTTTTCCGGCAACGACTAGGAAGTAGGATGAAAATATAAAGGAGAATTTCAGGTACACAGGAGTGGTCCAAAATTGATGTTTAGGAGCATCCATCCAGCAAGAGTAAGGAGGCTCAGTAGTTATAGCGCAAATTTACCGACCGTGGATTAGAGGATTTCTTATTCTCAAGTCTAAGTTTGGACAACATGGCAGTATTCCAGCCCTGGTGCTTGTTTCTGGAGGTATGACAGCTAGGCACCGAAAGGATGTTACAACTGAACGATTTTATTTCATCCATCAGGGCAGATGTCGAGCCGTGGAACCCTGTGCTCGAAATCACAATTACTGAAATTTGATTGTATCATGAATTCCACTTCTGAAGTTTCTCACTCTGGAGTTAACATGAGGCAGTTCAGAGGTGAAAGGATAGGTACATTTGAATACTCGATGACCCCGTATAAGCATGGATGACCCAACAGTAGATCAGCATTCTTATTTCTGGTTAGCCAGTCTGTCAGTTGGAGATTTAGCTCAGGAGTACAGCATCTACAGACCAAGCTAAATTCGTTAAGATGAAGACCTAATCAGAAGTAACCAACCGAACAGTGTTGAAGTGAAACAGCTGTAGATTTTCACCAAGAGTTGACAAAGGTCTTGTCTAAAGATGTCCACGTCCCAGTGTGAATCAAATGTTAACATATTCGTCTCAAAAACACCACTAGATATGGGGTGCCTGAGGAAAGGGGGGTCCCTTTCTGCAGACCACATCGTAGTTGATGGGGGAGCTGTTGTGGGCTCCTAGTTAGGTCCGAGGAACGTGGCTGCATTAAATCTCTGGGGGTTTCGAAAGAGTGAAGAAAGCCCGTGAATGAAGTGCTCACTTGAAAGTGCCGTCTCACGTAGGTCAACAAAGCTGCACGAAAACAGGCCAGATTAGGTGCGTCCAGAATATGGACAATGGAAGGAATGAGTTGCTGATGATCTTCAACGGGAGCAAAATTAGGATGACCCTTTTTTGTGCAAGTGTGATTTTATAAATGGCGAGGGATTGTCAACTTTTTATTACACAGTTCAAATCCATCCATATATACATACCAGGATGAAGCGAACAATCAAAAGCAGTTTCCGCTAATAGTCAATCCGAAATTGCACGACAACAGAGAACGCAAGACACGACATCCCTAGAATGCGGCACCCGAATCCAGACTTCATTTTTGGCACGAGTCACCGTACCTTGATCACCTGGTATGATTTACATTAATTTGCTAACGACGGTTAATGGTTCTCGCAATCTACTGGTAAAACGTCAGTGCCACTGCTCGCTCGAACATCTTTCCTTCTAATAGCACTGCTACTGTTTTATTCCGTCAGGAGAACAAAACAAGAAATGTCATTTCAAATTTCTCACAGTTGTGGCACTGAAGATTCGTCAAGATCGTTGGCCTAAAGCAAAAGCTTTGCTTCGCACTGAAAACACCGCCAATTTAAATCTGAAAAAGCGATATTCCGCGAGATTGTACGAAGCTAAAACGACCGACATTTTCACATTTTCATGAGAAAACAATCGGACAAGGCTAAGCATCGTATCAGCTTTATTCGAAGACCCCTTTAATTCACAACACTATCACATCATGTTCAGACTTTTGAAGCATTCATTTAAGTGTAGTGGAATTTCACTCATGGTCTTAGGCAATTTCATAATCCGTGAGCACACTGACATCTGTTTAAACTGTACACACGGAATACTGCTGGACGCCCAACAAAATTAGGATCGATACGGATTCGACGCGCTCACAGCCTACGATTTACAAAACCATGCAAAATGCATGGTGTCCCTTCACCCCACTTCTTACCGGAATGAATAGCCGAGTCAAACCGAGGTTGGATTTTTCGGGTAGTAACTACGAGTAATGTGGTCAGTTCTTACCAAAATACAATACTGAACCATTTATCCTGAGGCGTATAGGACATCGTCGAAACCAGGGAGACCAGCAGATGGATAAAAGGGTCGTTAACCATGGAATCGGTTGATTTGTTTTTCGGTACGAACTGACACTCAGTCCTCCAAAGCAGTTCGAAGAAGTTGTTTGTAAGTAACAACAAACAAAACCATTCTCACCGAAAAAGTGAAGGTGGCGGGAGATGTGAGACTTCATTGGTACCAAAATCCGACCAAATTCCGGTCCTCTGCTTGAGTGCTATTCAGTGAAAATCAAATTTTTACGCTTTTGTAACTTCTTGGTGTGTAGTAACAACACAACCCAAAAGAAGTAGGAGAACTTAGCTAAATCTGGGTTGTTCAAGCCTGGCTTGGATTCACGTAGTTCTGTTTGTACGTTGCTGTAAACTCCACAAGACAAGGACCACAGTGTCAAACATGCTGTCATATTCCAGCCGCATTGTTTAGCTAAAGGTTTCCAGTTGCCGTATACTCTGCTCTTGTCAGTTCACAGATGACGCGCATATCCTACTAACGGTACAACGAAAAAGCAATCATCCGTAACAGCCCTTCAGTGTCTAGCTGCCATGCCACCCGAAGGGTTCACGAGGGACAAGATAATACCAGGTTGTCCAAGTCTAAACAGGAGCAGTCGAGATGCCGAGGTTGGGTTTGAACCAGTAAGTTCGCGCAACAACCACTGAGCCAACACGAGCTCCCGAAAGGAGCCAGACATTTAAGTTGGGCGAAGCTTTCGACCCTGAACCGCGAATAAGCCCACAAAAGCTCAATGAATCACACACTTCAAGCCAAAGCAGTGGAATTCATCTCGAAAAAAAACTAGGTCTTAGGACTAGCTGTGAGAACAATCGCAAATCAAGTCCGGGGTTAAACCGATGAGAAGTAAGTAGCAGAAAAAATAGAGCACACAATAGCTATATGGGGGTAAAAAAAGCAGCAGTAAACACTCCTATCAAAACGCACGTACATGTTCGATCCACATTTTCCCGACCAGCACGTTGTGTACAATAAGGTTCGGGTTTTGCCAAGTGTAGATCTCACCAAACTTACGCAGCTCTAACGTGACAGTGCCTTTGGGTTGAACTTCAATCGACTTGCCCCAGAAGCGAAGTTTAAACTGAATTGAAGCCCACATTCGGTAGTGCTCAGATTCCACGTGGAACGCGGTGATTGGGGGATGATGCGAAACCTGGGATGTGTTATAGGAGATAGCATGAATCCATCTATAGTTTTCCAGGATATTCCGAAGATGGAAAATGATGGCTAGAAAAACACGATTGCCGACAGCTTAGGCCAGAAAGTGACAGTGAAAGCAGTAGAACAAACAACCTGAATTTAACTTAACAGAGAAACATGCGCAAAGAAATGTCAGGATTTTTCTGAGTCAAACTAACCTACACTACCCTAGGGTTGCGCAAAGAAATGTCAGGATTTTTCTGAGTCAAACTAACCTACACTGAAAACCCTAGGGTCATTGTACAACTGTCTTATCCTGGTGAAGAATCATCAACCGTTCATAAATCCTTATTCTAACCCGCGAACTTTTGCAAAGGAGTTCGGTTACCGGTAGGAGGAGGAGCGCCTTCGAATATGGAGTTACTTATTGACCAACTCGAACAAGGCGATTACAAGCCACTAGACACCAAAGTAAAAAAAACCTCATTTGTAAAGTTTTTGAAAAGTCAATATCCTTCCAAGACGTTATTTGAATAGCACTTAACAATGAACCAACATTGTACAGCGGTTCAATAATCTGTATATCAACCTTCAATTAGAAGAAGGGACGCTGCTGACACTTGACTAGACACTACTCACACACGTTGCGACAGTAGTTGATTAGCACTGTAAACGACTGGGGACACCCATCGTTCGACAATATGCTATCCTGAGTTGGCTACAGTAGAATAATGGCTGACGTCAAATGTTGTGTCTATGGACTGAACATACACTTATATATTATCCCGCTGGTCTAAGTTCTTTAAAATAACACTTTTTGCACTTTTATCCGCTTAGATGTTCATATGTTTTCAATAAATCGCGACCCTATGCCTTGCTTATGGTGGCCTCAATACTACTCGCAGCGCCTGATTCCCGCTCGGTCATCGCTTAGTTCCAATAAACGACCGCGTCCTCTACAGTCTTGGTTTTCATTGCCAATGCATGAAAATCGCGGCTAAGAAATAGGCCACGTTACCAGACAATGAAGAGGCTATATTAAACATGTGTGACCACTGCGCTTCCGCCGTACAACCCATTTTTTGTTTGTGGTATGGTGGGAAACACCCCGGACTTAGGGTCAATTATTTGTCCAACACAATTTTCTGCCATCAAAAGAGACCGTTTTTCATTGATCACTTTATGTGTTTCCCTCAGAGGGAAATAAATGCACTTTGTGTCATAAAACGGTACATTTCTATTACTAGTGAACGAAATTCAACGTGAAGGTGGACAGTCAAGAAATATTTTTTTGGACAAAGATACCTGACATTGAAATATAATTCGAGAAACTGTATTACAAGTCGGAAGACTCAAAGTATGTGAGTCGTCACACACTCAAAAAGATGTTCAGGCAGCTGAAAAAGACTGGGACCAAACATTTAGTGGTGAAATTAAAAGTCGGTCATGATCAGCAACTCATCAACTCTCATTAGGGATGACCTCGCGAGGGATTCAAGAAACAAGCCTAACCCGAAATAAATAGTGGCAACAAACTGGTTTTCTGAAGAGTAGTAGCAAATTACCAACTCTGCACTGTCTCACATCCCCTTGAAAGACACACCTCACCTACCAAAAGGACCTTTCCTCATCCAAGAGGCTTAACTGGTCCGCTCACGGTACTCAGTTGTCGAAAAATGCAAACACTAAACAACAGTTGAAAGTCTGGTGGTTGCTGGGGTTCTCAAAGAATCGAATATTCATAAGCGTCCTGGCTTCTAGAAACGACAAAACTTCTCCCTCAAATAACTTGCTGGATCATAGAAAAAATAGACGGGATTCTGCGTGCTGGTGGGTTCAACTTTGATAGGTAAACTAATCATGATTTCAGTCTCGCAAACCTTATGGAGGAGGGATCACGGTAAACCGAACAGAAAACACTGCTGAAGTTCATGAAACAAGCCTGTAGGTAATACTTCGTACCACCAAAAGCGTGATACAAGCAAGCCAAAGCTTCGGTGGTGGATGCGCCAGCCTCAATAAAAATCTATGCCTATCACTGGAGGCTCTCGGTGAGGAATTTATGTTGTCAAGAAGCAGCCTATCAGGTATTTTTAGTGAGAGGTGCACGAGATGGGACTGAATTTCGGCGCTTTCTCATGGGGACAAGCTTTAGACATAAGATTTACTAGCGCAAAGTTCCACCTGCCAGTACGGTTCAAAAGTAACACACTTTCGGTGCCTAGCTGCCGTGCAGGGTTCAAAAGTAACACACTTTCGGTGCCTATCTGCCGTGCAATGCGAGCGGAGCACGAGGGCTGAAATACTGACAGGTTGCCCTAGATAGGGACAGTCGAGATGCCGAGTTTGAACTCGAACCGCGAACCTTACAGCAGTTAAGTTCGCGTCTTAACCACTCGGCCATCTCGAGCTCACAGGAATTTTGCAAGACAAAACTGAATGACTGGCACAGCAGAACGGAGATTTACACCGTCAGGCTCACCACAAAATGGGACGTTGTTGGTGAAATCGCTAAGCTCTGTCGTGATGTTTTTATATAAAGGCGGATAATGTTATCTGCTATAAAAACGTCCAAGCAAACGTACGCACAGAGAAAGTCGTTAGGATGTAACTATCTGTGTACTATTTCGAAAAATAGGGACGAACTGGTACTGAAAGAACCATTTCACAAGTAGTGAGTGTAAAACAAAAGGTGAGTAGAATAGCTACGACTAACAACAACACAACAAATGGATTGTGAGGATGACACTAACCTGCTCAGCCACAAAAACGAAACCATTGTGTTGTAGCTCATACGTCTCACCGAGAAGCGGATTGAATGGTTTGCCTATACGGTTACAATTCGATGAGGTCGCTGAGACGGCAAATGCGCAGACGTACTGTGGATAGGAGGGACAGAGGAGAGGCGTCAGGCGTACTGGACACACCATGAGCCGAATGGCACCACCGTTCTTGCAGGCTAGTTAAACTCATAGTTCTTAAGCGGATGCGGACATATACGGCAAAATCATCTTGTAAAGACACCAAAGTGTGGAATGTGTGCAATTCTACGTGTGAAACAAAGTTACAAGGTTCGCGGTGGGTCGTGTCAGAAATTATACTTCAGCTACAGATTTCCTTGACCTAAGCACGGTGAACCCACAAACAAAGTTGCTTGAGTACCAACCTGGGCTCCGGGCTACCTCGCCGCAATCTCTAAAATACGACCCAAATGAGGTAGAAATGCGGATGACCGGTTCAAGTGGGAGAGCCCATGGCTAATTTGTCCATTTGTCTGTGAAACTGCCCGCTGAACAGGAACTGAACGTCCATGGTACAACGCAGAATGTGAATGCACGTAGTACTTCTACAAGGGACCGTCCCTGAAAAGTGACACGTCTAATGGTAAAAAGCACTTGCTTGAAATATTTATATTCCTTACGCTATCAACAAAGTACCAGTAAAGTAGCATGGAAGCTGTGTTTGATCATGGTAACCCGGACTGGTTATAACACACTGCATGACTACTTGGAAGCGTTGTGGTGCGGTACCTCCATAAAATTGGGCACAATGAGACACCCAATTTGTGCAATTCAGGAAACCTATGTAGAAGGGAGCAGTTACATCCGTAGATTGGAGCTGTTCTCACTGTTGCTGAGCCTAAATGTCACCATTCTTCAGCTTTTTCAAACAACTACTTATCTTTCGACCGATCTAGTAGAAAAAGGTTGAAATTTTGCGTTGTCATTAGTACTTGATTCAACCTTTCCTTCGTATTCTTTTCGTTTTAGACTTAACACACCAGATTCTTTACCTGGTTTCCTAATAAAAATGTCCGGGTTGTTTCTCAACTGCTTATACGCCTCTCTGTGGCATGGAGAAGAGACTGTCGGTTTTCGATTTCGGTGATCGATAATGATATTATACATCAACCACATCGGATTTCACTCTGTCAAATGTCTTATCGGTGGAGGATCTGAAATCAGCTGCACGGACTGGGTTACAGCGGCTAGTTTTACTCTCAGTGAGTCTGCCTCCATTGCGGATATATTCTTCAATGTAAATTTAAACAGAAAACTCAGCTACTGAAAAGAACACAAGATGCGTCGAACCAATGTCATTTGTATCGCACATTAACATGGAAAAGTCGGTACATACACATTCGCAGCCTTAGGTCACTTAAATTCAAACGGAATCTTGTCCATTACATGTATGACAGGGCGAGGAAATTTTACTTAGAACACTTGGACTGAGATATTGGACCATTTAAGAGGTGTGTATAGATAAAATTGCAACCCATGCGCTTCCACAAAACACTTCAAACTGAGACCTCAAAGTAAATTATACAGGAGGTGAAACCAAAACTGCTCTACCTTCTTTTCCCTACATAGTCGGTATGGATAGTGGAGTGATGACGCGCAGACTATAAAGGGCATTTGCCAGAACACTTTATGCTGCACCCCCTAATGTAGTTTTCAACAGCCATCCTCCTATCATTAGGCAAGCGCTAAGAATACACGCTCACAATTCAGACGAATTCAGCGTGTTTATGAATTTGTCTGTTCCTGTGGAGACAGCTACGTCGATCGAACGACGAAGCAACTGCCAACGCGTATGTCTGAGGGCGCATCGTCCGTGAGGCACAGGGGAGAACGACACGACGTAAGCACTCCCATTTATTCTGCCTTCTTGACACTGGTCGGACGGTTGACGTTTTCAGCGCTTCCAGACAGACTTATAAAACACAAGCCGAGATACTAGAATTTATAGAAAGCAATTGCAGAAAGAGCAAAACTGCATCAATCGCCATTTGTATTTTGAGCCCAAACTCCGCATCAAGAAACGTTTCGTACACACGTTGAATCTCGCGTGGCCGGATAGCTACTTGTCAGCTTCACCTGACCAGTCGAACTCACTCCAGTTTTGTCGGCGGTAACTAACGATTATCCATTTCGATTAGAACGACATTTGCTCACAGTTTCGATCGATTCTGTTCGTTTTATAAGTTAGAACCGGTAGAAGGGGTATAGAGAAAATAATAAGTTAGAATCTCAAAAGATTTCAGCACTACAAGGAAATGGCATAAAACTCTGAGAAGCAGGAATCCCGCATAGTAAAGTAATGTAGTGATCATCTAGGGGGAAACACAGTGATGCTGATTGGTGGCTCACTGTGACTACCAGGATTTTGTTCTGTCACGAGTTCCCAAAAAGAAACATCACCCTTCGTCCCGCAAGTCAAGCCGACTTGACAAGCACTGTCCAACTGCTTCCAAACCCGTAGGAATCACCCAGTAGTGCGGATCTCACTGATATCTGGAAAGAAGTGACCTCACAACATCCTAGGTTAGAGTTTGATCAATGTGCAGTTCACTTATGGGTGGACGACTAGCGAATTGGCCAAACTGCAGCTAACTCTCCTCAGGCGTGTCCAGCTTCAACATTTTAGTTCACTTCCCTGTGGTAATTTCTGAATAGTTCGAGAGCTCGGGCGCAATTCAGTACACCACCAAAGCCGATGGTTCTCGGTGAAGGGACAGACATAAGAAAAAACGCCCTAAATATCTGACCACGAAATAATTTGATTCCTCCCATTGTTTACGTTCCGCGTAACCAACCCGAATTCCACATTAATGCACCGTAATTCGAGAATCAGACAGAACACAAACTCGCCCTATTAAAAAAAGTTTTGTACCACAGCTATGTTGAGATTCCTTTTTCTTAAGGTCTGAAAAAGATGGACTACGCCGCACAACAGTGTTATAACGTATGGTCCGTTCACCGATGACTTTCAGTCAACATGTCAGTAGGAAACTGTCTCACCAGATTCCTAAGACTGTCCTACAAAAGGTTGAATTGGACCGCTCACGCCACACTATGAACAAAATGCCAGCACGTGGCGCAACGGCCCCAAGCTACGAGGTCTTGACGAAATGTTACAACCGGGCCCAACGCAGGGTGTTGGTAAACACCAATCTTGTTACTATAGCCAAAACCTTTTGAGGGCGCTAAACTGCCAAACTAGGCCAATTCTAGTTGAAAACCCAAATGTTGAAAACAACGCTCTATCTGAGCGTCCACCATGTTGTGACAGTGCTTCCAAAAGATTGTCTCAACTCGCGCTCCATTTCGCCCATTCACAGCATTATTGGTTTAGTTTGACTTATAACTTTTTTGACCGTTCAAAGGAGTTGAAAAGCAGCAGAGCTCGGATACGATGAGTTCAAATTTGAGAAAATATACTTGCAAAATACGCGAAAAAAAAACAAGTTGCTGACCTCCATTCGTCTGACTGGATCGGTCTGTTGCGCTGCTTGTGTAAGTAGCTCTGAATATTCCATATACTCAGCAATACGCTGTAAAAAACTGATCGGTTCGTTCAGCGATACAGGCATGGAGACTTTGGTGAGGTCCTATAAAGAAAACAGAACAATCAGATTGAATATTTATCCTGTTGCCACATGCAAGGTGAGAGAAGAGACAAGTTATTTGGTGCGTCCGGACACAAATTCCAGAGACTAAGAGGACTATAGAAAAATTGCACTATGATAATAACAATCACACGCACAGGCAACAAAACGATTGAAGTAAAGAAGCCTGTAGGTCTGAAAAGTTCGGAATCCATTTGATTCCGTAACTACAGAATACATCGGATTAGAAAGCCAGTTGCCAAAATTGTCACACGCATCCGTCCAGGAAATTATTTATCCCGAACGTAGATAAGGTGTTTTCGCCCGACAACGTAACGTACGCATGAAACTGCAACAAATTTTAGACAGGTGAGCACAATTTGCAATTGACAGGTAGTCCAGAACTGCACACGCTTAGTAGGGTTCGGAAGCTAGGGTGTCGTCAATCAGTGAATGTCCATTGGGCCTTCAGTCTCACTAAAACCTGCATAGAATCAGGAACAAGCTGTGAAATAAACGCCTAGCAAACAACGAGAGCGAGGCAGTTCAGCGGTTATGAGGCAAGGCTACTGATTGGATATTGCACGGTTCGAATCCAAACCTGGCTTCCCGATTGCCTGGGTAACCTGGAAGTATCTCAGTTCTTGTGCTTCCTTGATACTGCACGGCAGCTGCGTGCCGAACGGGTGCTAAAGCTGAATGGATTATCTACTTATTTATCCCCATAAAAAAGGATGCATAAGTCGAATGGTCTTATGCCGAGGCGTGCAAAAATCCACTGAAGATGCTGAAGGCAGGATCAGATTACAAAGAACGTATCTATCGGGTATCACAGTCGATTACAATGAACGCGGCTTGAAGAGAGGATTCCGACTGAAAATGGTGGACCAATACAAGAGGAAAGGCGTTGACACTGTGGAAAGAACTAGTTCAGGCTGAATAGCTGCAAGCCTTTGTACAGAAAATTATGCGAGGACCCGTTTCAATCCATATGACATGAGAGATCAAGAATACACAAGGATCTGTATCAAACTAACTCATTACCAGCATAAACGATAGAGTCATTGGCCATTTAAGGTCAGGCGCAGAGACATAACTGTACTGTATGCAGGCAATTGTTCGCATACCTATCCACATGAAACTCACTCTGAAATGCTCTTGCGAGCGAAACTACAGCACGCAGAACCTGTACAGTATCAAAGTAGAGTAAAAATTTCAATTGTCTAGACTTGTTGTGGTCATCCACATGCTGGAATGGAGCACAGTGTTGTTTTATCAAGAAAACAAAGGTATTACGGCGATTCCTGTTTACTCTGTGTAAACTAATATTACATTGAAAAGGTTGACCGTGCAGACAAACAACGAAGAACCAGAAACTGGACAGAACCGAAGAACATTGGAGGTCACCGAGGTCGGTGATCATAACCAAACAGTGAAACATGAAGAATACCATAGGAGAATGTCCCAAGCTAAAGGAATGCAAACGTCAGCAGAGTAGGGAAGCCGTTGTAACTTAATTTCAGCTAGTATCAGTGATACAATCAAGGAAAGTGACGAGTAAGTAATTTACTCACATAGCAGTGAACCAGCCTTTGACAGCGCACGACAAATTTCGACCATCTTGGGGTTCGTAGGGTAGGCGCAGTCCCCGAGTTCCAGTCAACCTTATGGTCTATTTGAATCCAAATCGGACGGATTTCGACAAAGACTTTCATTTGGTTTTGATAGAAAACCCAACTGAGTGTAGAAACGTTGGCAACTTAATCGCCGAGCTCGGCAAACAAATCAACGACCACCTGATAAGCCACCAATGAACGCATATTCCGGTACACGCCCACAGAATATCAGGTCCTACAAGAACCGATGCTATCGAGTCCGAAGCAGAGCAGCCAAGCCATAGGCTCGCTAAACTAGCCCGCTCAAAATGCTGCACAAACCACGATGACATAACCAAAGATGACATTAACTTCAATAGGACAAATCGATTCCTTCCAATCTTTTAGCTTGTGTATCGAAAGTCGAGTCGCAAGACATGAAAACTACGACTAGATGTTAGAAATTTTCCGGTAGTTGAGCGCTAATACTCCCCCCTTAACTATCGGGACAAAACCTCAGAAAGAGTGCTGAACTACGTACAACAGGCAACTCACATATCCAATGGATAAAAGTGTTTTGCGAGTTGCTTGGGCGCGATAATGTACTTGGCAGAAACAGTTTGTGGGAGCGCAAAAGGACCGAGCAATGAAGTAAAAGAAGTGGCGCGGGTAATTGCCTCCGATGATGGAGATCAAGCGATGGGGTACGGACAGGCACGCACAAACTTGGCCCGATTCGCCTTCCTCATTTTCCTTACCAGGTAAAATTAATTACGGCTGCAGTCAGTGTGTCTGACGTAATCTACGTATCCGTCAATTACGATTCGATCGCAGTTCGCGAGGGAAACTACGCCAATCTTCTTCTTGTTGTTGTTGCTGCTGTTTCTACCAGTACCATCACTGGTTCTCTAACGCTCAATAACCAAGAAAAGAATCGAGAGTGACGCAACCCAATAGACAGCTCGTCCTTTGGGTTAGCGAAAGTCAGCCTCCTCCATTATTGTGGCACGTCTACATTTCATTCTATTTCGTTCTAGTGACACGAACATCCGAAGGGTGAATGAGAACCTGTTTGTAAAAAAAATTTCGGAAGCGATTTGGGCTAAATTTAATCCATTCAACACACCATAACAATCGTGTGAATGCAGCCCACTTCGCCAGATGCGCATGGCTGTTTCGAAAAAACTGCCGGATATATGGACAGCGTTTTCTGGCTTTGCAACAAGTTAATATAGCAAACCTCACACCTTTTATCACACTTATCTTCCATCCCGTCACTCAATTTAAAACATCATGTAGTCCCACTTAGGCAGTAGCACTTACTCCAGACCGCCAACGGTGGTTGTGCCACAAGTGAAGATATTCGGCAAAATCGACTGTGAGATGCTGCATTCCTTGTTATTCCCTTCTCATAATTCATACAACCGTGAGTCACTCTTTTCCTACCGATAGATCGTGAACCCTGAGCCGAAAGTTACAATTGAAAACGACACTTTGTTCGATTTTATTGAACAGGTTGTCGTTTAATTCAAGAGGGGGATTTGGTAACTCGGTGTACGAGGAAAATCTAATAAACTGCGCAGTGGCACAGCTGAGGTACGGAGTTCGAATACAGAGAAAAAAAGGCAACAAAAACAAAGCTTTCCCAACGATTATGGGTTGGCTCAATCACACTATGGCAATTGCGGACCAGAAATGGGACACTTGCATACCGTGTTTGAATCGATAAATAGAAACTGATACGAAGGCGAAAAAACCCACCTTTCCAATGCATTGTTTCACGAATGACCAAATGCGAAAGTCTGATTTTGGAGTCGTTGTTGGTAAAGTGGTTCTGGTGTAAATAGAGGAAATAAGTTCTTCAAAGGATTAAAAGGGAGACAAAAGTCAAGATATGTGAAGCATGTGATATTTTGAATTGCCGAAAAGGTGAGCTCGAAATGGGTGATCAGGGCGCGAACTTACTGATCAGAAGGTCCGTGTTTCGAACCCAACTCTGGCATCTCGGATGCTCCTGTCTAGGCCTGAGCAGCCTGTCATTATCTCAGGCCTAGTGTTTCCTTCGGTCGGCATGGCACCTATGCAGCGAAGTGTTACATATGGGCGGTCATTTCTTAATGCAGGGGCACAGCTAAAATGCTTCGAGAGAAGAACTGCAGATGGCAAGATACAAGATGGATCGGCAACCACATACACCCAATGAAGGCCATGTTGAGAGGGTATAGAATGGGGCTATACACTTATTAAGATGATCGAGATGATAAGGTAGGATCGTTGGTTCACAAAAAGGAGCAAGTTTATGTATTTCGTGAATAATGTTGAAAAATGCAAAGATAAGGACATTGGAAATCGAAAGCGACGCTCACCTGGTCATCCAAGAAAGCTTGGTACCTACAATTTTTTTTTAAAATGAGATAACGAAAATGTCTGTCCTAAACTTACCATACTGGCGAATAAGCTTAAAAAGATCCTTATCAGAAAGAATCGAATCACAAATCATTGATTCCATATGATTTGTTGCTTCCAGTCCGATCTGTGGAGGATGGCCAGTCAACAATCTGTGGGGAAAGGATGATACATTGGAAAGAGGTTCACTGGGAAACAGAATGGCTGCCACTGGATTGCTGGCCGAACACCTAAAATGTAAAAATGATCATAATCATCATCTTATACACATCATGCAGAAAAAGTACAATGGTTCAAACTGCCAGTTTTTCCGAATGAGAGTCACATATAGAAAGCTATGTAGTAGTACCGTAGTGCGCATTAGCCAACTCTACACCGGTTTCCGGTAGATGTAACCTGACCAAAGGGACACCTGTGGATCTGTAGCTAAACTACATCGCCCAGAATCTTTAACCGCCTTCATGTCCCATACCATAGACCTAATAGAAGGGTTCTACAGTTCAACGGTTAGCGTCTTAATGCTGCACTGGCAAGCTAGGACTCAACTTAACTCCCGCATGATTTCCTGGCTAAAAACAGTCCAGGGGTTACGGAAGTAATGCATCTGAAATTCCCGCCAAACTCCGCAGCCTTGCGATTGCACTTTTGAGCCAAAGGCTTTGGTTGAGGACCCTAATCGTCATCCTGTCTAAGTGTGGGCGCCCTGACAGTATCCCAGCCCACGTCGAACCATGATACATCTAACAATAAACTCGTGCCACATCGTCGTCAGGTGGTACCATCAGCCGGTTCACATTACTCGTTGCATATAGCACGGCGGGTAAGCGGAACGGACCAATGCTGACGCCTCCCCTCTTTCTCTTTCACGTAATTTTTCTTACCACTTTCTCCGCCCCATTAATAACTCCCTCCTTGTAGGTGCAGCACTTAGAACTGATGACTCCGTTCGCCTAGCATTAGTTTTGCGTGCAGCATCTGCTCGTCATATGGCGCCAACATCATCAGACTACCCCAAATCAATCATCAAGACTCGAAACCCAGTCTTCTGGCCGCATTCTGAAACAAGCAAGACAACAAGCTGCTCTTGCTCTCACACTGGACTCGCTTGGGATTTATCTGTGCCACGTCTCAGAAACGAGAATTTAAGATGCAAGCACAGGTATTTGGCTAACAGCCCCATCAGTCTTCGCTCGCTTCCAGCTACACACCACAGGCTGCTGCGGCGGGATGTGCAGGGTTTGCACCGTCCTGAGTCGCCCGTTGATAGTTGCCTCCGTGAGCTTCGTCTGACAACGTCTATGGAGTCTCACAGGCGGGAAGTTGATGGATGTCTGCCTACGCTCCAACTGACTGTAGCTCTGATGCCGTCAAAGACAGTTTTTACGACGCTGTGAAGGCCCTGCTGCTGCGAGCCAAAATCTCAGATATCGCGGTGGTTACCAAAGATTTGAATGCACAATTGGGTAGGCTTAGCAAATCTGAGACTCACTTAGGAGGTCGAAATGGATTGGACTCAGTAGGTACGGACAATGGGGAACAATTGCTTCAGCTGTGCGCTGACCAGAGGCTTTTCTTATTTCAGTAGTAACTTCCGAAATAGCCGAAGTTGTCTGGCCACATTGTGTCCTCCAACGACATGCCTGTCACAAACTCAAATCGATCACCTTTTCACCCATTAAAGATGGCGCGGATTAATGACTGACCACCTATCGTTTCGGTACATATTTGTGGATTCCGACCACGCACTCGTCCGGAGTTGTTTCTCCCCAAGTTTTTAGGGCCACGTAAGGTGCGAACAAATCGCCTGGGAACTGCAAGACTGGCAGATCCGGACGTTAGACGAACTTACCAGAATCGGCTTCTAGAGTCTCTTCCAAAAACTCCACCATCAGATGCTAACTCATAGTGGAAGGAGATTGCCATCTCTTTGCACAGTTTCAGTTGTGGGGTCTTGTGGAATATGTATTTTGTTCATATTCACATCGTCCTCGTTTGAACGGTCGTCTTCCTGTTCTGTGTGATTAGTGTGGTGAGTCCACACCAAATGGAAGCACTGGACTCGAATTTCGCTCATCAGCAGTGCATATCCAATGGCCGTGCCGGGATTCCAATCCCGGACATCTGACATGCCAGGCGAGCTTGTTATCACCAGCCCACCAACGCACGTTGGACACATCTGAATTTTCACTTCTGAACAGGCGAGCATTCTCACGCTTGAGCGATGTGATTGGTGTGCCCGACTCATCGAAAGACGACCCCAATAACTGTCCTGGTTGTGACGATCGACTGACCCGCCAATCAGGACTTCCCAGTCAGGTAGTGTCACATACTCTTGAAACCCACAGGGCAACTGTTTTTGGTTTCAGTTGTGGGGTTTTACGGGATGTGTATTTTGTTCATATTCACACTTGCATAGTGCTGGGAATTTCGCCTGTGGCACGGTACCACCAGGCTTACTCAAGCACTGGATGTCAGATCGAACGGTGGCACTCCTTAAAACTCGGATAAATACCCCAGCCGGCCCCGAACATAACTTAATGCGACGAATTATTGGGCGTCAAGTGAAAGTGAGCGTGCAAGCCGAACGTGAAGTGTGGTGGACACAGAAAGCCGGTGGTGCCTGAAGTTTATTTCAGTTGATCCGTACCACCTGTCCCTGGAAACCACTTGTGAGGGAGACCATCAAGGATAGGAAGGAGCTGATCATCTCGAATAAAGAAGAACGCTCTGACCGTTGGGCCGAGTACTTCAAACAACAATTGTCACGACTACTAGCTGAAACACATCGGGAGCCCACAGGTGACGTAGAACCATGGATGGTGAACGTAGAACCACCTACGGCCTCGGAGGTTCATGACTACATATGTTCTCTCAGGTGTCACCGAGCCTCTGTTCCGGATGACCACATTGTTCAAAGATGGGGTGAAATCCTCAATCAGCGCTTGTCTGGGCTGTTTGCTTGCATTTGGGAAAAGGAATCTCTCCCAGAAAACTGGGGAGTCAATGATAGTGTTCATTTTCAAAAAAAGAGCTCGCAGTGAGTGTGGCAACCACAGGTAGATCAGCTTGACTCCGGTCGTAACAAGACTGTCGGTGTCACTTGTGCTCCGTCGCCTTACGGTGGCTCGTGAGACACTGACTCGAGAGCAGCAAGCGGGATTCCGGTCTGGTAGGGGTTGTGTTGACCAAATTTTCACGATTCGTCAGGCGCTAGAACAACACCATACGTATAAACGACCCACAATTCTAGTGTTCCTGGATTTCCAAGACACCTTCGACTCGGTAGACCGGCCTGTTCTGCTTGACACGCTTACCCACTGAGGAATGCCCCGGAATTTTGTCAACATAATAGGCCCTTTGTAGTTCCAGACTTTCGGACGTGTGAGTATACGGCGAGCACTCCAAAAGCTTCGGTACACTAGATGGTGTGCGGCAGGGATGTCTACTCTCCCCATTCCCGTTCAAGTTCATGATCGATGAAATCATGGGACGAACACTGAAAGGTCTCCAAAACCCCGGTGTAAGGTCATGAACATCGAAATACAGTCACTGAACACGCCACTCACAATCCAGGAAGAGGCACTTGGATTTGTGGAGTTTTACGTACCTTGGAAGTTGTAGTGGTCTGATTGTAGCGTGACAGGTGAGGTAAATTCACGAATCGCCAAGGCTCGGGTCGCGTTTGCTAATTTGAGACACCAATGGCGCCGAAGTGGTGTGTCACAGGATCTCAAGGGATGTGTATCAAGCGAGAATGAGGGCTGTTTTGATGTATTGCTGTGAGACTTGGTCTGTTCAAGCAGCGGAACTGAGACGTCTTCAGGCGTTCGACAATCTTTGTCTCAGGACCATAGCTCATGTGGGTTGGTGTTGGCGTATCCGTAACGGGACAATTAGAAAGCGAGTGTTCGGTTGTGCAACGGATACGTCCATTGAAGAAAGTGCCCAGCACCAGAAGCTGCGTTGGGATATGTGTTGCGTAGGCCTAACCATCGTTTGCCGAAGATAGTGGCGTAAGCGGAGAGGTAGCCAACCCTTGACTTGGCAGAGAGGTACGAAAGAAATCACGAAACGCTTGGGTGTTGCCGAAGATATTCGCCTTACGGGATTTGGACCGCGTGATCCTCACTGCGCCTTGTTGGAGACGCCGCAAGATATGGCTGCCAATCGATGTCAGTGGCGGTCATGTTGGCACTTTCTATCCAAATTGCCCGAATGAATGTTTGATGGTGTAAGCACCTTGGAATGATCGGAGTAAGCTAGCACGTAATCCTTTTCCCGTTCACTTACATTCTTTTTTCACAATAGGGCTTTCAAATAAATCATGGTTGTATGGCAGTGTTGAGCGCTGATGTGCTGTCGACGATGAGGATCTCAGCAACCCTGGAGCCATACTAGAGGATACCTATGCAGTATCCGAGTGGTCGCAGCTCATTTCAATTAGACTAACGGATAGAGGTTTGAAGTCACCGAACCATCCCATTTGGAATGGTGAACAGGTTCAGCGACTTAATTCTTAACAGAGTGGCTTTGTACCAACCTATCCTCACTGGTCTTGCTCACATCTCCTTCCATCCTATTGTTGTATTGGTCATAGACGGTCGCAAGTAAGTTGGATACTCAGGGAACTGGCAATTCGCACGCTACTCTTCACAGCTGCTTATTGTTGTCTACTATGTACACCGCAATCTCCCGCTTCGATAAAAGTCTTAGACAGGCATTCTCTTAAGCAAATCAGCAAACAAGCTGCCCTAATATCCACCTTTTTATAATTTATCGTAGTCACTTTATGGATTTCTAAACCAGAACACAATACCCGGCTAAACTACATTCCTCACTGTCTAAAAAAGCTGCCCTTGACAGCGACCAATTCTCTGACGAAACCATTTTAGGATGAAATTTTCAAATTCAATAGGGGGTGAGACAAGCCGTGCAGAGTGTCGGCAGTGGTATGAGTCATCAAATGGAAAAGTTCCCACGCCGTCTGACATATTTTGATAAGGGCCTTCCGGGGGCCTGAGTCCCCCATGCATGACTCTAGATCCTGCAAGATATAGCTGCTAATCGATATCATTGGCGCCTATATAGTTGTGTAACACAGCGAGTCACAACGAGTGCATGTTCTTCGCAGCTGATGTTTCTACTGCGCAATCGAATGCCTTCTTTACAAATTCGTCGGCGCTACCCAATATCAGCAAGCCCTCTAGGTCATCGGTGGTCAAAGGCCTGAAGACGCCTCAGACCATCCGCCCGCACATGGTATACTATTAACCGTTTAATAGCATAATCCTTCAGTAGCGGCCTTTTTGAGACCACATGTGGTGAAAACGGACAAACACATTCACGCCTTCAAAATCAGATACACTTTCAAAAAATACAACGGTCGAAGAGTGCAAAAGTCTCAACAAGCTCCAGCGTTTCTTCTCAAATTGCAAGGAGTATGTTCATAGACTGTAGGTTCTGAAGCATGGGTCTGCAGCTTGAGCACAGGGCACATGCCGAAAATGGTACGATGCAGGAGAGTTTATTCGACAAGACTTCATTCTAATTGATTAGGAAGACGCCGTCTGCGTATTCCGGATCAAAAAGGTTCTCACCATCAACGACTTGAACACCGAGGTTTTTAAGACCCTCCCGCGCTCACCTTATTATTGAATCAAAACCGAAATCGAACAAAAATGGAAGAGCAGATATCCTAACCCAACGCCGCTTCTTGCAGGGAGGCTTTTAGAGTTCCCCATTCACTTTCACATACCCTCAAGTTGGTAAACTTATGGAACGGAAGGTCACAAGCTTCTGGAAATCTGTTGCTGAACAAACGTAACTAGAATCAGTGACTGGTCGACACAATTAAACATCATCATTATCATCATCAAAGACAGCAACATCAGTGTTGGCACTGATGCTTCACTGCCGTATTTTGTACGAGGGCTGGGATACTGCCAGGGCGCCCACACCTAGACAGGAGGACGATTAGGGTCCTCAACCAAGAGCCTAACCGCAAGGCAGCGGTGTTTGGCGGGGAAATGCAAATGCATTACCTTTTCTACGGAACAAGTCGCCATACATGTTCCAACTCCCAACCTGGAGGGCTAAGAGACTGCGTTCGTCAGACCTCTAACCATTGACCAACCTGATATGAGAGACTCTGTGAGTGTCGCACGGACACCCCCCCCCAGTATAGATCAATGGGTCTCCGAGGTACACAAACCGCCACACCACGGTAAGGTCCAGTCTCTTCGTGACGCCCTTAAAAGTAGAGAATAAAATAATAATCGTTCCACTGTAACACACTCCCGGTGCCTAGCTTCCATGCCACTCGAAGGAAGTACGAGAGCTGGGATACTTCCAATTTGCCCAGGAGAAGTCGACATACAGAGGTCGGGTTCGAACCACGAACCTTTCGGTCAGTACATTCGCGCTCTAACCACTGAGTCATATCGCCTCTTGGTCATGTTGGTAACTGGTAGATGGTTTACAGCTGATGAACTGAACTGAGCATGGACCAAGATGACAGTAACTTTAGAGGAAAATAACAGTTGTCGTAACATCCTTTCGTTGCATAACCGCTATGCCGCCCGAACAAAGCACGAGGGCCCAAGTTTAGACAGAGAAAGTCGAGGTATAGAGGTCGGGTTCAAACAAAGGATCCCTTGGTCAGTAAATTCACGCTCTAACCACTGGAGCCATCGCGTCATGTCACTTTTATTGCAGATGGCTACACTTCCGGCCTTTGGCCATCTCTGCTGACTGAAGAAAAGGATTCCTTTGCAGTGGTGATATTCCATAGGGCTTGTTGGTGGCGGTGAGGAGTTCACCACACTTGCCGTAGAGTACCATGGCATTAGTATGATACTGTCTTCACCTACCTATGCTTTGGCAACCTGGC